AACATTTGCACCTGAGAAAACACAAATGATGATCGTCTCTAGGCACCATGATGGTAATGCTGGTGCAGTAGTAAGGATGAATGGGAGGGTGTTGGCACCTGGAGAAGAAGTTGATATCCTTGGGGTGAAATTTGACTCCAAACTAACCATGAAGAACCATGTTGTAAATCTTGCAAACAAGGCAGCCAGGAAGCTTACAGCACTTCGCTGTATCTCGCATCTGTTTGACAGTAGGGGTTGCAAGATTCTGTACGAGGCACAAGTACGCTCACACCTTGAGTATGCTCCACTTTCTTGGTTTGCCTGCCCCCCTCTCATCTGCGACTGCTTGACAGAGTAGAGAACAGAGAAAGACGTCTCATCTCTCGCCTGGACCCATCCTGGATAGATCTGTCATTTCAGCAGAGCCTTCAACATAGGAGGGATGTGGGTGGCCTTACTGTTATGTACAAGGCCAATATTGTCAAAATACCACACTTGGATCCACTTCGAGGACAGCGTGAAACAAGCTTTTATGCCACAAGACGGGCAGAAAGCAGCAACTTCACTCTGGCTGTACCCTTCTCCAGAACATCACTCCATCTGAGATCATATATACTTAGGATGACTCGAGTATGGAACACATTCGTGCAGCATAATGATGTCAACAAGATAAAGTCATTTGATCACATGAAAATGCTGGCCCACAGATGACTCCAACTTCATCCTGTTCCCTACTTGTATGTCTCATAACAATAAAAATGCCTTCAAATGAGCTGATGTAGGTAACAGCTCTTAGCTTGCCAATAAATTTAGGAATCCTTAACCTGTAAATAGCTTGTCAATAAAGCTAGGGATCCTTAACCTTGTCAAACCCTGTGTAAAAAGAGAGAGAGAGAGAGAGAGAGAGAGAGAGAGAGAGAGAGAGAGAGAGAGAGAGAGAGAGAGAGAGAGAGAGAGAGAGAGAGAGAGAGAGAGAGAGAGAGAGAGAGAGAGAGAGAGAACTCTGTCAACGGAAACAAAGAGGAGAATGTATGAGAGAAGAGTTATACCAACGCTCTTATATGGGTGTGAAACATGTAGTGGTGAATGTTGCAACAAGGAGAAGGCTGGAGGCAGTGGAGATGTCATGTCTGAGGGCAATGGGTGGTGTGAATATAATGCAGAGAATTCGTAGTTTGGAAATTAGGAGAAGGTGCAGGATTACCAAAATATTATCCAGAGGGCTGAGGAGGGGTTGTTGAGGTGGTTCGGACATTTAGAGAGGGTGTAACAAAATAGAATGACTTCGATAGTATATAAATCTGTAGTGGAGGGAAGGCTGTGTAGAGGTCGGCCTAGGAAAGACTGGAGGAAGGGGAGTAAAGGATGTTTTGTGTGCGAGGGGTTTGGACTTCTAGCAAGCATGCTTGAGCATGTTAAATAGGAGCAAATAGAGACAAATGATTTTTAGGACTGTTGGAGTGTGGCCAGGGTAATATTTATGAAGGGATTCAGAGAAACCGGCAGGCCGGACTCGAGTCATAGGGATGGGAAGTGCAGTGTCTGCACTCTGAAGGAGGGGTGCTAATGTTTCAGTTTTGCAACTGAAGTGTAAGCGCACCTCTGGCAAGACAGTGATGGAGTGAATGATGGTCAAAGATTTTCTTTTTCGGGCCACCCTACCTTGGTGGGAAACTGCCGATGTGTTAATAAAAATTACACACACACACACACACACACACACACACACACACACACACACACACACACACACACACACACACAACACACACACACACACACACACACACACACACACACATATATATATATATATATATATATATATATATATATATATATATGCAACTGAAGACTTCAGTTGTAAGTCGAAAAAGGCAGATCATAAAAACTCTGTGTTTCTGTCTTCAAATGGATTCCTACTTCTCTTCCTCCCTCTCTCTCTCTCGCTCTCTCTCCCTCCCTTGTCAAGGTTACTACAGCCATCACTGACGACCCAACTTGCATAGCTTGAAAAACGTTTGATCCAATTAAAAAAAAGAGGGGTAACTCCAATTTCTAATATCAAGAACGCTTCACTGGCATTAACGCTTCTTCCTTTAAAGAACCATAAAGCTGAGTCCTAATGCGAACGAGTGCGTTCTCCTAATTTCCTCTTGCTTGTTCTCGTAAAATATTATAAATCATCCGAAGCGTATTATGAAGCCAATTTCGTGAGTAAAACTCATTCCAAGAGATCTAAAACATCGCACTGATGTGCTCAAGAAGAAACATAAATACTGATTGAATTTACCTGAAAACAGACTTACGTTATCTAAGTTCTGGCTGTAAATGTACAGAAAGGTGTATGTCTCTCGTTATATATACATATATATATATATATATATATATATATATATATATATATATATATATATTATATATATATATACAGTGAGTATTTTCTTTAATCCTACTTTAGGCATGAAATATTTTCTGATTGACGACATACAAGACATATGCAGCTTTAATGACCGTGCAGTATATTATGTTTAAACCTATCGTACGCTGAGGTCAGTGGTCACGTGTGGTCATACCTGCCTAAGCTCTTGGGAGTTAGTCTGGGCTGTTACCAAGCACCATGGCTTGTTGTAGTGCTTTTGAATCTCAGGTTTAAGTGTTGAAGAAGGAGATTCTACTTCAGGAGGAAAATAGGAGGCTGAAGCTTCGCATAGATGAGTTTGGGAGCGAGCGTGAGAAGGATTTAGCTGGTAAGGTAGGAATGGTCACCAGCAGTGATAGTGGCAGCCACTTTAAGTGGCAAGTGGTTCACAGTTCAGGAATAAGGAAGATGAGGAGAGTTAATAGAGAAAATGTGAAGGTAGGAAATCGATTCTCTGTTCTCCAAGACGAATGTACTTCAGTGGTTAGTGAGGTCGAAGGTACCACTGATTCCCCTGCTAATCAAGGTAAGAATATTTGAATAGTAGGCTATTCTCAGGTAAGATATATGGACCGTGCATTTTGTAACAGAGACAGAAAGGTCAGACAGAGAGTATGTCTTCCTGGAGCTGGTGTTGGTGACATAGTCAGCAGGTTGGATAATATTATGGTAGGTAATGGGAACAAGCCCATTATCTGTCTTAGTGCTGGGGGTAATGACATTGGGAAGGGCAGGAGAGAGGAGCTGCTGGATAAGTACAGGTCAGCCATAGAAGTTGTTAGGTCTAAGGGAGGGATCCCAGTCATATGTAGCATCTTGCCTAGAAAGGGAGTGGGCAATGAATGGATGTCTAGGGCAATCGGTATAAATTGCTGGCTAGACAGATACTGCAAGGAACTTGCAGTCCCATTCATTGATAACTGGGACCTATTCTTTGGCAAACGTGATATGTATACAAGGGATGGGGTTCATCTCTCTGGGGATGGAGTGGTTGCATTAGCCAATTCAATTGAGGGGGCAACTGATGACTTGTCTAGGAATTTAAACTGATAGATTATAGAAGTATGGGTGTTTGTGGGAAACAATCAGGCTGCAGCATTAGGGTTAAAACAGCAGTTATTACCGGGATACCTCAGGGATATGTTTAAAAGACAATATTCAAAATAAAGTTGCTAGTAATGGCAAATCAACTGATCAACAAACAAAGAGATAGTAGAGGGCAACGAGTGACTAGTAGGAGTTTAAGAAATAAGATAAATTTGCTAAAATTACTTGCAAGTGTAGGTAATATAGATATTATTGGTATAACAGAGACCTGGTTCAACCTGAAATATAGAAAAATTCCTTCTGAATGCAACAAACAGGGTTATAAACTATTCCACACTGATAGGGTCAACAGCAAGGGTGGTGGTGTGGCGATGTATGTCAGAGAAAATTTAAATTGTTGTCTTAGACATGATATAAGATTAGAAACATCGAACACAGACTCTGTTTGGCTACAGTTTCTCGAGGAACGTGACAAATTAATTGTGGGTGTGATTTATAGGCCCCCAAACCTTAATAGAGAGGGCAGTAGCTGTTATGGGACGAAATTCATAAGGCATCTAGATATGAAAATGTTGTGATAATGGGAGATTTTAACTTTAGACAAATTGATTGGAACAATATGACAGGAAATCTTGAGTCTAGTGACTTTCTCGATACGGTTCAGGATTGCTTTTTAGAAAGTTTATGACAGAACCAACTAGAGGAAGCAATCTGCTTGACTTGGTTCTTGCCAACAAAGATTCACTAATTGATAATCTTGAGGTTAATGGTGAGCTTGGGGAAAGTGATCACAAATCACTTAGTTTCAATATATCATGGAATTACCCAGATAACTGCAATCAAATCTCTGTCCCAGATTTTCGCTTGGCCGACTTCATGGGACTGAAAAATTACTTGGGTGGGCTAAATTGGGATGTCCTGACTATGGGTCAGGTAGGTGATATTGGTTGCCAATATGACGTTTTTCAGAGCATAGTACTAGCTGCCCAGACAACTTTTGTTCCGAGTAGGGAAATTAGATCTATCAAAAATGATCCCAAATGGATGAACAATAGATTAAAACATCTCATTGGTCAAAAGAGAGGCATATATAGGCGTATCAAAAGAGGGGATGGGCAGTTAAGAAATCAATATATTCAATTAAAGAGAGAAATAAAAAAAAGGAATAAGAAAAGCAAAAAGGGATTATAAAGCTAAGGTCGCAAGGGATTCAAAGACTAACCCAAAAGGGTTCTTTCAGGTATACAGAAGTAAGATTAGGGACAAGACTGGCCCACTTAAGAGTAACTCTGGTCAGATCACTGACAGTGATAAGAATATGTGTGAAATTCTAAATACCTACTTCCTCTCAGTTTTCACCCAGGAAAATACTAGCGATATTCCTGAAATAATAGATTATGTAAAACAGGATGATAATAAACTATGTACGATTGCGGTAACTAGTGACATGGTCCTCAGACAAATAAAGAAACTAAAACCTAACAAATCCCCAGGTCCTGATGAACTGTTTGCAAGGGTGTTAAAGGAATATAAAGAGGAACTTAGCACACCTTTGGCTAATATTTTTAACATGTCACTACAAACTGGCATAGTGCCTGATAAGTGGAAAATGGCAAATGTAATGCCTATTTACAAGGCAGGTGACAGGTCCTTGGCTTCGAACTATAGACCAGTAAGTCTTACCTCCATAGTGGGAAAATTTATGGAATCAATAATTGCAGAAGCAATTCGTAGCCATCTTGACAGGCACAGATTGATTAATGAATCTCAACACGGTTTTAAAAAGGGGCGTTCCTGTCTTACGAATTTACTAACTTTTTTCACTAAGGTGTTTGAGGAGGTAGATCATGGTAATGAATATGATATTATGTATATGGACTTCAGTGAGGCTTTCGATAGAGTATCACACCAGAGGCTATTGAGGAAACTTAGGGCACACGGAATAGGAGGAGAATTTTTTTCCTGGGTAGAGGCATGGCTGACAAATAGATAGCAGAGAGTTTGCATAAATGGGGAGAAATCAGAATGGGGGCACGTCACAAGCGATGTTCCTCAAGGGTCAGTGTTGGGCCCGTTGTTGTTCACAATTTACATAAACGACATAGATGAGGGAATAAATAGCGACATAAGCAAATTTGCTGATGACACCAAAACAGGCCGTCCAATTCATTCTAATGAGGACATTAGAGCACTCCAGGATGATTTGAATAGACTGACGCAATGGTCGGAGAAGTGGCATATGCAGTTTAACATTGACAAATGCAAAGTTCTAAATGTTGGACAGTTAAATAACCATGCCACATATAAACTAAATAATGTAGATCTTAATATTACTGATTGCGAAAAGGATTTAGGAGTTCTGGTTAGCAGTAATCTAAAACCAAGACAACAGTGCATTAGTGTTAGCAATAAAGCTAACAGAATTCTTGGCTTCATATCTAGAAGTATAAATAATAGAAGTCCTTAGGTTGTTCTTCAACTCTATATATCCTTGGTTAGGCCTCATTTAGACTATGCTGCTCAGTTCTCGTCACCGTATTACAGAATGGATATAAATGCTCTGGAAAACGTACAAAGGAGGATGACAAAGATGATCCCATGTATCAGAAATCTTCCCTATGAGGATAGACTGAGGGCCTTGAATCTGCACTCTCTCGAAAGGCGTAGAATTAGGGGGATATGATCGAGGTGTATAAATGGAAAACAGGAATAAATAAAGGGGATGTAAATAGCGTGCTGAAAATTTCCAGCCATGACAGGACTCGCAGCAATGGGTTCAAGTTGGAAAAATACAGATTCAGGAAGGATATAGGAAAGCACTGGTTTGGTAATATAGTTGTGGATGAGTGGAACAAACTCCCGAGCACAGTTCTTGAGGCTAAAACGTTGTATAGTTTTAAAAATAGGTTAGATAAATACATGAGTGGGTGTGGGTGGGTGTGGGTGGGTGTGGGTGGGTGTGAGTTGACCTGACAAACTTTTGCTGCTGGGTCTGGTGCAGTGCTCCATCCTTGACTGGAGATGACCTGGCTGGGTGGATCATTGGGATAATCCGGGGGGTGGGTCATTGGTCTAATCCGAGGGGGAAACATGGACCTGCTCCGCTTGGGTCAGTAGGCCTGTTGCAGTGTTCCTTCTTTCTTATGTTCTTATGTTCTTATCAGACCAATTACCATGCCTCAACCTCAAAAGATTCACAAGTTGCATTGATTACTAAGGAAAGAAATTATTGTTTTAAGGCATTAAATGGGATTCCACCCCACATGTACTTTCCAATGCAGTTAACAACGCATACGATAGTTATTCGTTTTTCCGTTTATTAATGACAAATTATTCAGGTTATAATTATTTGTATTTTTACGTAAACGAGAGGCAGTCAGTTTTGTTCTAAGTAGGGAATTGCCCCAGTTGTTAGGATCAAGAGTTCAGAATCAAGGCACTGGCTTTAACCAGCACTTACATGATGATAACAGAATAGATCTCTGCCCCCGTTGACTCATATGAGCGAACTGGCTAATTCTCAAAGGCTCATTGTTTACGCAGTTTCATTGAAGCAAATCTTTCGTAATGGAACACCCTGAAATGATCGTACGAACCTGCAATAAAGAGTGTTGTTAATGAAAGAAAGGTAGAATGAGAGATATTAATTGAGAAAGAGTTAGAGATAGAATGACTGAGAAAAACTGAAAGAAAGGATAATTTGAAAAAAAGAGAGAGATATTGAGGAAGAATTCATGAGAAATATTCGCCGAAAAAGACTGCGAAATACCGACAAAGATTCGGATTAAATATTTTATAATCCAGTAACCTGCAAAAGTCATTCAAAGATTGTACTGACGAGTGATATTAATTAGCAAGATATTATTATTTTTTAATATGTTGTACTCTAATCAAGGATAATGATTGACGTTTGTCGTACTGTGTCCCAGGCTGAGGGACCGAGTACGTCAAACTCCTTCTTCACTGATTGGCGGAAAAGAGTACATGTGTTGGAAATGTATCTCATACGTCTTCTTTGAGTGAAAGAGTGGGAGAGAGAGAGAGGGAAGAGAGAGAGAGAGAGAGAGAGAGAGAGGAGAGAGAAGAGAGAGAGAGAGAGAGAGAGAGAGAGAGAGAGAGAGAGAGAGAGAGAGAGAGAGAGAGAGAACGAGAAAATACAAATAAGAGTAACACACAAACCCGGTTACTCACCTGAGTCTTCCATAGATAGACAGTCTTGGCAGCAGGCTTCATGGGGTTATCATTGAGGTCATCAATGATAACAGTGACGGTGTGGGTGGCGGAGAGCCCCTGGGCGTCGGCCGCCCACACCCCGACCAGCAGCTGAGGATGCATCTCCCGGTCCACGGCCTTGATCGTCCACAGTTGGGCACCTCCCCGACCACTGTCCAGGTCTGACAGACGACACAGGAGTGTTTTAGTCAATCGCACTTTCAAAGGGGAAGGGAGAGGGGTTAACAGCTACCAACTACAAGAGTGTCTTTACAGGCCGCATGTAACCTGCTCACCACCAGTCAAGAAAATTTTGATCCCTAGGATCGGGTTTGAACTGAGCTCTTAGCATTTGTTCACCGCCAGGGGATATAATCCTCTCGGTCTATATATGACTGTTTTCAGTGATGGAAAAATGGGTAATAGAGAGATGGAAAAAAAGCAAATGTACTGTTTTATGTGATGGAAAAATGGGTAATAGAGAGATGGGACAAAAAAAGATGAGGATAAGTTTCCAAAATTTATTCTAGGAACTAATGAAAATATATTATTATATTATAGAAATAAAAATACTAAAATAACTAAAAATAAAATTGCCTGCAAAATTTAAGCAAAAATAATATTAATAAGAATGAATAATTTGAAACCAAAATGTAATGATAAATTATATTAAAACTTTAAATCATAATAATGATAATACATTTAATAATAATAATAATAATAATAATAATAATAATAATAATAATAATAATAATAAAATTATTCACTCTAATCTCTCTTTCTTCTTCCTCTCACTCTCTCACTCACTCTCTCTCTCTCTCTCTCTCTCTCTCTCTCTCTCTCTCTCTCTCTCTCTCTCTCTATCTATCTATCTATCTATCTATCTATCTCTCTCTCTCTCTATCTATCTCTCTCTCCCTCCCTCTCCAGTCACACATTTACAAACTGCACTTCCCCAGTCCACCCAAACATCCTCGCCAGAAATCCATTTATCAAATTCCCTTTCCTCTTGTCACGAGACCCAACCACCATTCTCCTCACAATGTTCTCTTCGTTTCCTTGGGTCAAGCCTGTCTACTCGTCATTTTCCAGGCGCAGTATTATTCCAATGATTGTGGCGCTTATCTAAGGATATATTAATTATCAAAGCAAATTCGTTCGTTTTAAAATTTTGATCGCGATCAAAACTTGGGAAAATTGTACTTGAAATGTGTGTTTTCTCAGTAAGGTAAATCATATTTTTTTCAGTGAATGGGTAGCTGCTAGCTACCCATTCCAATATTGTCAAAGTACCACACATGGATCCACTTCGAGGACAGCGTGACACAAGCTTTCATGCCACAAGACTGGCAGAAAGCAGCAACTTCACTCTAGCTGTACCCTTCTCCAGAACATCACTCCATCTGAGATCATATATACCCAGGATGACGAGTATGGAACACATTCGTACAGCATAATGATGTCAACGAGATAAAGTCAGTTGATCAAATGAAAATTCTGGCCCACAGATGGTTCCAATTTCATCCTGTTCCCTACTTGTATGTCTCATAACAATAAAAATGCTTTCAAATGAGCTGATGTAGGTAACAGCTCTTAGCTTGTCAATAAAGTTAGGAATCCTTAACCTGTAAATAGCTTGTCAATAAAGCTAGGGATCCTTAACCTTGTCAAACCCTGTGTAAAAAAAAAAAAAAAAAAAAAAAGTGCAAACAGGTGGTTAAATACGTGAATGCGTAGAAAATACGCGCGTGTAGATATGCACGCACGCACTTACACTCACATGCAGATACATAAAATGAAATATACGCAAAAATACACGCAAGAGGACAAACACTCACGCAAACACACGCAAATAGGCAGGCAAGTACTCACATATATTTGTGTAAACAAGCATACACACGTACATGCACTCACGCAGGTACTGGCGTATACACGCAAGCACGATCACGCATACGTAAGTGCACGCACAAACACGCATAAAAAATCATCATTGCCAACTAGCAAGTTAGCAAGGGCAGACGCACCAATAGCTGCACCAACCAACTACATTTAACAACCGTAAATGTTCAACAACCACCTATTGCGCTGACCCATTTGAAGGTAAAATTGGCTCTTTGAGTTAATATTTCCAATTACGCTGGTTCGGTTGCCGCCATCGGTGGCTTTGTCGGAACTGTCATTGGGATGGAGGTCATATACCAGGCTTTTATTTTTTTGTGGCCATACCTGTCTTGCTTTTGTTGAATGTTTCTTTTATTTGCTCGAATCGCTGACTATTTTTTTCTACCTTAGTTTCATGCTGTGTTAATTCGTTTAATTTTCGGGTTAAAGATTAAAAAAAAAAATATCTCCATTAGGTTAAAAAAAATTTTTTACGTAGGTGTTTTAATATTTGTTTCCGTTTCGCATTTTTGTGGGTATCTTTATTTATTATTTTTATTACGTTATTTTTTTTGCAGTTTTATCGACCTCTATTCAGAAAATTGTAATAAGTAATAGACGTACAAAAAGACAAATAAAAACAGTTTACATATAGACATTCTCACTCTGGTACTACTTTTAGCATTTGCACAAAATCAGACACACACACACACACATACACACACACACACACACACACACACACACACACACACACACACACACACACACACACACACACACACACACACACACACACACACACACAGGCACAAACACACGCACGTGCGATAGTGAAAAGAATTTTGAAGGAGAACTTATGTAGGAAAGAGGGAGATTATTTCCCAATAAAAGTATTCCTTAGACAAGGATGTGTGATGTCACCGTGGTTGTTCAATATATTTATAGATGTGGTTGTAAGAGAAGTGAATGCGAGGGTCTTGGGGTTAAAAGATAAAGAATCACACATAAAGTGGGAGTTGTCACAGTTGCTTTTTGCTGATGACACTGTGCTCTTGGGAGATTCTGAAGAGACGTTGCAGAGGTTGGTGGATAAATTTGGTAGGGTATGTAAAAGAAGAAAATTAAAAGTAAATACAGGAAAGAGTAAGGTTATGAGGATAACAAAAAGATTAGGTGATGAAAGATTTGATATCAGATTGGAGGGAGAGAGTATGGAGGAGGTGAATGTATTCCGATAATTGGGAGTAGACGTGTCAGGGACTGGGTCTATGAAAGATGAGGTGAATCATAGAATTGATGATGGGAAAAGGGTGAGCGGTGCACTTAGGAGTCTGTGGAGACAAAGAACTTTGTCCTTGGAAGCAAAGAGGGGAATGTATGAGAGCATAGTTTTACCAACGCTTTTATATGGGTGTGAAGCATGGGTGATGAATGTTGCAGCGAGGGTGAGGCTGGAGGCAGTGGAGATGTCATGTCTGAGGGCAATGTGTGGTGTGAATATAATGCAGAGAATTCGTAGTTTGGAAGTTAGGAGGAGGTGTGGGATTGCCAAAACTGTTGTCCAGAGGGCTGAGGAAGGGTTGTTTAGGCGGTTCGGGCATGTAGAGAGAATGGAACGAAACAGAATTACTTCAAGAGTGTATCAATCTGTAGTGGAAGGAAGGCGGGGTAGGGGTCAGCCTAGGAAGGGTTGGAGGGAGGGGGTAAAGGAGGTTTTGTGTGCGAGAGGCTTGGATTTCCAGCAAGGATGCGTGAGCGTGTTTGACAGGAGTGAATGGAGACGAATGGTTTTTAATACTTGAAGTTCTGTTGGAGTGTGAGCAAAGTAACATTTATGAAGGGGTTCAGGGAAACCGGCAGGCCGGACTTGAGTCCTGGAGATGGGAAGTACAGTGCCTGCACTCTGAAGGAGGGGTGTTAATGTTGCAGTTTAAAAACTGTAGTGTAAAGCACCCTTCTGGCAAGACAGTGATGGAGTGAATGATGGTGAAAGTTTTTCTTTTTCGGGCCACCCTGCCTTGGTGGGAATCGGCCAGTGTGATAATAAAAAAAAAAAAATATATATATATATATAATATATGAATATATATATATATATATATATATAATATATATATATATATATATATATATATATATATATATATATATATATATATATATATATATATGTATGTATATATAATGGTTACATTATTGAGCCTGCATACGCATGTACCACTGTTTATTGATTGACAATCGTTCATTACGAATTATGTTGGGTTTATGGATGCAATAGCTTTGCGGAGAATGATAATAATGTACCAACACCTGGAAAACGAGACTTAGTTCAGTAAGATCTGAGGAAGACCAGGATAGCCGTAATTACTTGAATCAAGAAGGCTGTGTGGTCATCCCAAGAGAAAGAGAATATAACAGGAAGAAGTAAGCTTACGTGAGTCGAAGGTGAGAGAGATATGGGAGAGGACGTGGGCTGGATTGCTGGGAGCCAGGGAGAGGTTGAAGGGCGGTCCGTGGCCCAAGGCCCACACGTCGTGGTCTGTGGCCGTGATCACGCCCAAGAGGGTGGGTGGGCCGCCCTCGGCCACGTGCAGCAGCGTGGGCGGCAGCAAGCGTGGTGGGCAGTCGTTGACGTCGGTGACGGTGATGGTGAGGGTGGCAGTGGCACTGAGGGGCGGCACTCCGCGGTCCACGCTGATGATTTTGGCTACACCGATGGCACCGTCGGGAGCCTCGCGGTCCAGAGCCTGCCACAGGCTCACTCCTCCTTCAGAGTTGACAGTGAGGGAGTCCCAGCCCCCCGTCACGTGGTATTCCACCTCCTGGGTCCCTCCCTGTGGAACAACTCATTTGTGTTAATAAATTCATAAAATTATTATTATTATTATGATTATTATTATTATTATTATTATTATTATTATTTTATTATTATTATTATTATTATTATTATTATTATTATTATTATTATTTTATTATTATTATTATTATTATTATTATTATTATTATTATTATTATTATTATTATTATTATTATTATTTTTATTATTAATAATATATTTGTATTATATTTAATTGAATTTATAAACCCATAAAAATAAACTAAAATTTATTAGGTCGTGTGTAAATAGACAAGATCGTCATGTAAAAATATATTTTTAATCGAGACTGCTGATAAATTTACGATTTCTCGGAATATTTTTCAGCATAAAATATTTTGACAAAAATCCATTACAATAAAAGTATCTAACATCTTTGATTTTTATTATATTTGTTTATAATTTAAAAAAAAAAATGTGTAATATACGATCTGTAGTATATAAAAAAAAAAAGTTTTGCCCACTAACGAATTTAACAGTTCCTCTGTGGGAATTGATAGCTACTCTGTACATGGAGAATTTAGAGAAGGAAAGGTGAAAAAATTCAGTATCCTTAAAAAAGTAAGATGGTTAGGATACGTAGACGACATCTTGATTATCGTCTCTAGACGTTGCAGCCTCCGAAAAACTTTCTTACCAACGTAAACTCTATAGAACCTTCAATAAAACTGACCAGAGGTGAGGAAATAAGGCGGGCAGATGCCCTCTCTAAAGGTCATGTTTTGAAAAAACGAAGATAAACAAGATTTCAAGGTATGCCGCAAATCCACAAGCAAACAGTGATACATTCTGCACTACCTACTTCATCATGACAACAGAGCAAAATAATGGTCTATTATTAGTTTCTTCCTAAGAGTTCACTGGAGTTGTTCCTCACCCACATTCCTCGAAGAAGAATGGGACTCCTGCAATAAAACCTTCTTTGAACTTTTCTGTCCACAGCACTTCATCACCGACTGCAGGAAAGGAGCAGACAAGAATTCAATTCTAGCAGATTATATATATATATATATATATATATATATATATATATATATATATATATATATATATATATTATATATATGTATATATATATATATATATATATAATATATATATATATAATATATATATATATATATATATATATATATATATATATATATATATATATATATGTCGTGCCGAATATGTAAAACTGATCAATTAGCAAGAACTCATTTAAAATTAAGTCCTTTCTGAAATTTTCTTTTATACGTTTAAAGATATATTTTTTTCATTAATGTTAATGTAAAAAATTTTTAATTTTGCACCAAAAGAATCTTAGAAAACTTACCTAACCTTATTATAACAAGAACAATTTATTTTAGCCTACCCCAACTAAATATATTTTAAATACGTTTACAATAATTTAATACTAAACAAACACAATCAAATATATTTTTTTCGTTAGGTTCAGAATGATTTTGGCGAAATTATTGCATACACAAATTTTCACTTGTCCTATATGGCAAGATGAGCGTTGCTATTTAAGCCAAGATCGCAAGTTCTGCCTATGCGGCACGACACACACACACACACACACACACACACACACACACACACACACATATATATATATATATATATATATATATATATATATATATATATATATATATATAATATATATAATATATATATATATATATATAGCCAAAAGTCATACAGAGTTACAGAGAAAGAAACTATGTTTGCAATATTTATTTACGAAATCGTTCATTCATCATCATGACTGCCAGAATAGTCTCCGACACCATAAGGAACCAGAGACATGTCAGCTGGACGTAAATGGGATGTCTGCTGAAGTAGAAAAAAAAAGTTGAAAAAAAGGGAATACAGCACCATGAAGGACTTAGTTAAAAAAAGAAGATCAGAACAAAAGGCATCACTGCCGACGTTAACATGATACAATGAGAGAGGTTGTGATAGGTTTTATGTGGGTGAGGACTCAGGGGACCTGAACACGAGGGTGAACGAGCACAAAAACTCGCATGCCTGGGATGACATGAGCAACGCTTGTACTATTCACCATAACACGGAAAACCACCTGATGGACTTCCCCAGTGCCAACGTAATTATCAAGCAAGCAGACAGGTGTAACAGGCTATGATTGCCACTAATAACAGCTTTACACATAAATCAGGTTCCTGTCTAATTTAAAAAATAATGACCAAACTTATTCACACCTGATACTGTTGTTTAAATATACATATAGAGGAGCACAAGAGTTGGCCTACAGACCCATGGTAATTTTAAACTATTCGAAAGATCGACTTGGCTGGGTCTCTTTACAACGGGTGATGTCACCTGTCATCTCATCTCACATATTCACTGTTCATTTATAAATGCAATGTTTGCTCTATGAGAAATTATTTCAATTCCAGGTGGACGAAAAGTTTTTGCAACAAAATGTCAAACTCCATACATGATGGAATATTCTCTCCTTGATATACACTTGTGGCTCATTCACCACAAGAAGTGGTGAGGCTTAGTTCCCTCTCTCTGTTTATCAGGAGACACAGATGCTACTCTCACCAGCCTCCCCACACCACGATAAATACTTTCTTTATGAAAACAATAAATTTAAGAGATGTATACTCTACAGTGTAGTGAAAAGATAAAACTAGCAATTTTCCCGTCACAACTAGGAGGTCTGGTCTCAGTACGGATATAACAGGTATAAAAGATATAACAGACAAATTAAAGAAGTATGTTTAGATCAATTTTGCGACCAGTCCGAGACTATTATCATGTCGCGATTTCACTGAAGTCCAAGAATGGGATCGAAGTACTGTTAAAATCTTGATCATTAAATTGTGGATTAGACGTAGACTATCCCAGCCATGGAGGTGTTCTATATATTCTTAAGTAAGTTTACATTTTTCTCAGTTTGGTGTCGAGTTATTCTATACTGCAATATTTATATTGTACATTAAAAGCTAATTTCACCAAATTCCAGCAGTTGCCGGACTACAATGTACTCGATTATGTATTAACACAAAGTGCCAAACACCTGTGAGTCCTTGAGGGAAAGGAGTAATGAAACTCTATTTTTCCTCCGTTCATCGCGGTCATAGTCACATGAAGTATTTTTTTTTTAATAAGTGAACACCGAGTGGGAGTAAATAGTGAGGAATGTGATCACATTAGCTGAGAAAAGACTCTCTTATGTTATTACAGGATCTGTTGACGGATGGGAGAGGGAGAGGGTGAGTGGGACAGGGAGGAAGAAGGGGTATAGGGAGAGGGAAGGGGGATAGGGAGGGAGAGAGGAGAAAAAAGGGAGGAACTGAAATAGAGAGAAGCGGAGAAGGGAATGAAGAAGAGAATTCGAGGTGGCAAGATGGGAAAAAGAACGAGGAATGGAAGGAGAGAGAGAGAGAGAGAGAGAGAGAGAGAAATAGGGGTTGGAGGTAGAGATGGAATAATAGGAAAAGAAGGTAGGATGGTGGTAGAGATAGAATAAGGGGTCAGAGGAAGGAAAAGGAATGTGAGAGAAGGAGATAGGGAAAAAGGGAGGTGAGTAAGAGGATGAAGGAAGAAGGGAGGGAACAGAGAAAGTGCGACAGGAAGATGAGAGGAGAAAGAAAAACGTCGAGTAACAGCTGTCACAAAAATGTAACCTCGATTATTAAGGAGATTTTCCCACAAATTTAGAATTAGATTTGAAATATTGGATTGAAAAAAGTCATATCCTGAAGATACTCCAACGTCTCGCTCACAGGATGGCTTTATCAAGCACATTTTGCCCACTATGTGTGAAACATCTTAAAATAAAGATCCTCCAGCATAATGCGCCTGGGTTACCAACTTCTTACAAGTTAATACATTACAAGTTAAAAATAACTTACCATTTACCTCATTGTAAAACGACGAATGTGGGGGCTGGACCAGAGAACTAATTTTGTTGAAACAAATTAAAACGAATTGCACAACGAATGGTAAACTTTGAGAGTTGTTGTTGGAGTTTATACGGAACTTGTGCTATCGTGTTTGTCAGCTGGTGTTTGTGAAGTGGTGGTGGAGGTGTCAGCTAACTGTTGGTTGTGGTCGAGTTAGTAGTGTCAGTTGGTGTATTGGAAGGGGAGAGTGTCAGTCATCTGGTGTTGGTGGGGGTGTCAGATGGTGTAAGTGGTGTTAGTTGGTGTATCAGACGGGGAGGGGAGTCAGTCATCTGGTGTTGATGGTGGTGTCAAATGGTGTAAGTAGTGTCATTTACTGGTGTTAGTGGTGTCAGTTGGTGTATCGGACTAGGAGTGTGTCAGTTACCTGGTATTGGTGGTGGTGTCTGATGGTATAAATGGTGTCAGGAGCTGACTAATAAACAAGAGCTCAAAGGGTATTTCCATTTCTCTTCATTTAGTTTTGAATTCCGTCATCAAAATGCATTTACACTGTAGAAATTTCTTTGCACTTACCAACCTGTTGCAATTTAACAAAAGCCTTTCATAATATCCTAGCATGAAGCCCTTAACACGGCTGTTTATAATTAATTACGTCAACATTAACAATTAACAAACTAACTCACAAGTCATCTATTCCACGAATAACTTTTGCCTTGCATGTAATAAATTTGGTTTTCCAAATTCTCTGTCCATTATTAATTACTATAGTTGTTGTTTGTTGTTGTGTTGTTACTAAGCTCTGCCATACAATATTTGCGAATTCCCACAATGACACACGTTTAATTTCCAAACATGAGATTTTTTAGTTTACTATGGATGGAAAAATTCCCTCGACTAATAGTGTGTGTGTGTATGTGAGTGTGAGTGTGTGTGTGTGAGTGTATGTGTGTGTGGTATGTGTGTGTGTGTGTGTGAGTGTTTTTGGTGTGTGTGGTGTGTGTGATGTGTGTGTGTGTGTGTGTGTTGTGTGTGTGGTGGTGTGTGTATGTGTGTGTGGTGTGTGTGTGTGGTGTGTGGTGTGTGTGGTGTG